AATCCCCAATACAACAAAGGATCAAGAAAAGAAGAAGGTCACCGTCTACATCTGAAAGCTCATCTGGGGAATATATTTCCTCGATTGATTCAGATGATTCAGGATCCTCCTTAAGTGAACTGGTTGGGTTTCCTTCAGATAAAATTCAAAAATGTATAAAGGAAGTAAACCTAACAATCCTACCTTAGGATGCTGAGAACCCTTAAAAAGTTTTTTTTGTTCAACAAAGCCTGGTCGATCTCATTTTTAGGGAATGGAGAAACCCTGAAAAACATGCCTTTATTTCCAGACACTTCAAGGATATCTTCAAACTGGCTGGCAAAGTTATTTGGGAAGATCTCCCAAAAGTAGATGTTCAGGTCGCACAGATTGCTAAAAGGACCACTATCCCCATAGGGGAAACTTCAGCTTTGAAGAATCCAATTGATAAAAGAGCCGAAACCTCTTGTAGACGAGCTTACCAGACACCCGGTTTCCAATGCAGGGGTTTACTGGCAGGAGCAGCGGTTGCCAGAGCAAATGATAGCTGGCTAAATACGATACAAGATGTTTTTTCGTCTGACCAGGTTAAAGAATTAAACCACTTGTTTCAGAAAATGCACTTGGCTAATGAATACCTTTTGGATATGTCAGTAGAAGTTCTAAAATTATCATCCAGAATTATGGGACTGTCTTCGGTAGCAAGACAGCCTTATGGTTAAGGTTGTGGACAGCAGATTCAGTGTCCAAATCAGTCCTTTGTGAGCTTCCACGAGAAAAAACAAAATTATTTGGGGCTTCCTTAGAAGAAATCATTAGGCAAATGTCAGAAACCAAGAAGGCGCTTCCTCAGGATAAGAAGTTCTCCTGGAGATCAGGATACAGAAATTACCAGTATAAAAACAGAAGAAACTATCGAGAGGCCGCAATTTTTTCAAAGAAGGGATAAAAGTCATAGATTCGAACAGAGGGGTGACGTTAAGAGAACCTTCAGAGATAAAGAGAGATGTTTCTGATGCCAGAAGTGTGGGAGGAAGGCTCCAACAATATTTTCCAGTATGGGAAAAGACCACAAGGAATCATAGTATTTACAGAAAAACCAAGAACAAAGTTTCTGGTATCATCATACCAGTCTGCAAAAAAATCACAAGCCCTATATGGTCAAACCATGCTGCTGTTACAAAAAAGAGTGATAGAAAGAGTACCAGTAAAACAAACATTTCGGGGAGTCTATTCAAGATTATTTCTGGTGCCAAAACCAGACCACTCGTTTCGACCCACTCTGGACCTAAAGTACATAAACCAATTTATCCCCTATCACAGATTTCGTATGGAGTCAATCACTTCGATTTTTTTCCCCTTTTAAAAAGAGGCGACTTTATGGTAAAAATAGACTTAAAGGATGCTTATCTACATGTTCCAATCGCTACCACTTCAAGAAAATTTCTACGATTTGCTATAAAAAAAGGAAGATCCACCATTCATTTCCAGTTCAGGGCTCTGCCGTTTGGTCTGTCTTCCGCCCAAAGGATATTTACAAAGATCCTTACTCCTCTAACAGCTCATTTGAGGGAATTAGGTATTTCAGTTATCCCTTATCTGGACGACTGGCTCCACATTGCACATACAGAAGAACAGCTGCACAAGGACCTGCAGGTCACTATAAGGTTTCTTCAAAACCATGGCTGGATCCTAAACCAAAAAAAAGTCAGTACTCATCCCCATGAGAGAGATAGAGTTTCTCGGATTCATGATCAATTCAGTGTACATGTCAATTTTTCTTCCCAAATGAAAAAGGAGGAAAATCCGAGAAGAGATTTCCAATCTCCAAAAGATGGAAACTTGTTCCTTCAGACAGGCCATTGGTGTTTTGGGTCTTCTAATTGCCACCTTTCCAGCTGTCAAATGGGCAAGGTCAGAGGTCAGGCCATTGCAATGGAATATCCTCACTACCTGGTCAAAAAAGGTGGAAGATTTAGACGAAATTTTCAGGTTATCCCCTCAAGTAAAAAATCAGCTTACTTGGTGGAAAACATCAGAATGCCTTTCAGGAGGATTATCCTTTCGACCAAAAGACTGGATGATAGTCACTACAGACGCTTCAAGCACAGGTTGGGGAGCTCACTTAGGCCCCACCAGGGGCGTACCTAGAGCATTTGGCACCCGGGGCGGATCCTGTGCTTGGCACCCCCTCCCGACCCAAAAAACAAAAAAAAAAAACCTGTAAAAAATGTTAAAGGTTTTCTTTCTTTTTTTTTACAATTTGTAAACTTTGCAAAACCGCTGTCAGCCCCTCCTACAAAACCCTTGTCCTGCCCCGCCCCTCCTACAAAACCTCTGTCCTGCCCCTTCTACAAATCCTGTACTGCCCCGTCTACAAAACCCTCGCAACCCCCTTCCACAAATCGCCTGCTTATCCCCCCTTATAAAGACTCCTGTCCCAATGCAAAACCCCCGCCCCCTTCTACAAAATCCCTGCAGCCCCACACACACATTTACAGGCAGACAGTCACACACTCAGTTACAGACAGACAGTCAGACACTGTTACAGGCAGAGAGTCACACATACACATTTCCTCTGTGCGGCCAGTTTATCAGCTGTTTGCTTGTGTGAGCTGTACGGCACCCTAACTACCATGGGACACTGTGCGGCCACAGCTCACACAGCCCCCTCCAGCCAGGGCCGGTGCAAGGATTTTTGCCACCCTAGGCAAAAGTAAAGTTTGCCGCCCCCCCCATGTGACATCACAATGCCCCACCCATATGATTTGCCATGTTAACTAACGCCAGTGCTGCAGTGCCGCCGTGTTTACATTAAAAAGCTTGCAGGGACAGGCTATAGACACCAGAACCACTACATTAAGCTGAAGTGGTTCTGGGGACTATAGTGTTTCTTTAATGTGAGGTAAATTAGAGCTTAGTGCCACGAATAATATACTAGATTGCCTACTTACAACCAGATGAGGATGATGATGGGCTCTAGCTGCAGTCTGGCTCCACTGGTCTGGTGCAGAACAGGCTCTCTGGAGGCGGTTTGTAACTGTGGTCACAAAAATAAATGTTCTGGGAGAACGGGAAGCAGCTCCATTTTTTGGGGGTCCTTTACACAGCTCAAGGTCTGGGTCCCAGGGTCCACCTTCATGTTCCACCAATGAGTTTGTTCACAGGGGGTGGAGTGTGTAAGGGATGTCCTGATATGTGTGTAAGGAATGCATTGTGTGAAATTGTGTTTGTATGTGTAAGGGCTGCAAGGTGTGTTTCTGTGTATGTATGGGATGCATTGAATGTGTGTTGCATTGAGTGTGTGTAATGAATGCATTGTGTGTTTCTGTGTGTGTAAGGGATGCATTGTGTGTAACGGTTGCATTGCTTGTGTATGTGTGTCTGTGTGTGTAATGCATTGTGTGTTTTTCTGTGTGCAAGGGGTGCATTGTGTGTATGTGATGAATGTCAATCTCTCCTCCCGCTCCAATTTCCTTCTCCTCCTCCCAATTTCTTTCTCACCCCCCCTCCTAATTTCTCTCCCCCCCTAATTTCTCTTTCCCCCTCCTAATATCTCTTCCCCCCTCCTAATATCTCTTCCCCCCTCCTAATTTCTCTACCCCCTCCTAATTTCAATTTCTCTCCCCCCTCCTAAT